GGTTGGAGGGATATCCCGGGATGGGATGGGATGATCCCAAAACCAAGTGTTTGGTTGAGAGATTAGGAGGGATAGGATGGTTCCAAAAAGAGAATATTCCTCCAATATTCGGGACGATCTCATCCGCGAAAATCTGGCGGACAGCGCCATCCCACTTCGCACGCGCGCGGTAACCATCTGGCCTACCTTTTTTTTTTCACCGCACCCCTTTCCTTTCTCCTTCTCTCACCGGCGGCGGGAGCGCGCGAGCAAGGCAAGCCAGCGGCGGGAGGGCGCAAGCAATAGCGAGGGCGAGCCGGCGATGGGAGCACGCGAGCATGGGCGAGCCGGCGATGGGAGGGCGCGAGCAAGGGCGAGGGTGAGCCTATGGCAGGAGCACGCGAGCATGGGCGAGCCGGCGGCAGGAGCGCGCGAGCTGGGGTGAGCCGGCGGCAGCCATGGCGGTGTCCAACCAGCCTCCATCCGCCATCGGCCTCCAACGTCAGCAGCACGCGCGATCTTCCTTCTCCAATCCTCCCAGAATCCCGATGACAACATTGGATGGGGATTTCGTTTCAGATCTGTACATGTTCTTTCAGTAGACTTTTTTTTATGTGAGCAAGAATTAGTTTGTGATGTGTGCAAGTAATTTGTGATGAGATGATTAATTAGTGCTTGAGTATGATATGGCAACATATTTATCTTTTTGTTAAATTTTTGGGGCTGCTACGAATGTATTTTTTGTGTGAGAGTTTATTAAATTTTTGTAGGTGCTAAAAATATATTGTTCATGTGAGAGGTAACCTCACCAATTCTATTTGAGGAAGTATTTTTATCCGGATATCCCACCTTATCCCTCCATCCAAACAGGTGATGGAACCATTCCATCTCACTCCATCCCTCTAACCAAACAAAAAATAGGGTGCGCTCCATCTCTCTAACCAAACAAAAAATAGAACCATCCTATTCCAGAAAATAGGGATGAACCCAACCCATCCCACTTCGTCCCCAAACCAAACACATGCCAAATGTTCCAAAAATGGATAAATCAAGGTGACTGTTCTCACATGTCCACTTTTCATGCTACCATAGAGCAATCAAGTGTGGAACCTATTGCTAAAATGTATTTAACACATATTGATTCAGATGCTATTGCTTGTGGTAAAGAAGAGTTTTGTGATCATGATTCACTTATAACTATGACTCAACTTTTGAATGAACATTGTTCGATGATATTTTGTACATTTCATTTAAATGAGCTAAAAGAAATGATGCGTGTGTCCAAGTACTAATTCTAGAAATGGTGGTAGAAATAATAGTTAGTGATTATCTGCCACTAATGGCACAATCTTGCATACATGGGCACATGTACTTATGAATATTGTATTGATGGTATGGGCACATATACTTATGATATATGGGACATATCATCCAATTATTCTCTCTGAAATGGTAGTATGGCTCAAGGTGACAATACAATCCACCCTCGGTTGGCTAATGAAAAGAAACAACGGGGATTTGTTTTTTTGGAAGCATGCCACTATTCTTTAGCATCATCATTAGAGGGCAATAATCACACCATTTGCTGGCTGGCCGTTGATTTCCTGGCGTTGCTTGCATGGAAACCATGTACATGATCGTATAGAAACCCATAAATTAAAAGCGAGATTTGTTGTACACTATGTGTATACGAATACAAGGAAATAATCGATCCGTATCACGCCAGGTTGGAAAGGAGCTTGCCCCGGTAACTCGGATGGAATTATGCTGAGTAGGATCCCTATTAATTGGAAGAATCACAACGCATGGAAGAAATGCAAATCACAAAACTCAGGCAATTAGCTAGCCATGAATTGAGACATCAGCCATGCATGCGCAATGGATGGGAACCGCCTCATCTTCACTATAAAAGGTAGACCATCACACACATACAGAGGAGGGAGACGCAATAAAGTGAAACAGAAGGCATCTACAAGGCTGAAGGCCTTACACCATGGGCGGCACACGACCGCTCACACAAACAACAAGCTTGTACAAACATGTCGTAGAGGCAATGAAGCACATGACCTGAACAGCCAGCCAGTAGAGAAGGCCATGCACTCCAATCTGCTTCTATGTTACACTACGTTTTTTCCTTCTTTTCTACAGGTTCATGGTGTCCATCCATGGAGTCCGGAGGTTGCTGCTGGAGTCACCATCCTCTTAGGCAATGCAGAAGACAAAATGACTAGCCATGCCAAGTTGCTGTCAGTGATGCTCTCCCAAGCTCGCCATCGACGTGTCGGCCAATGTCAGGTGAGCTCTTCACCATCGACTAGATTGCAATGGAGATGTCACTCACTGCCAAGAGTTGGATGCACGATATGATGCAATATAGTAATAAAGCAATTTATATGGTGCACAGAGTTTATGCATATTTAGATTTGAAACCTCCTATGGTTGTGCAAGAAAATAGCAAACTAAAGAGATATATTGTCTCAAGTTTTTTTTTTGTAGTTTTGATTTGAGGAAACATTTGAAGAAGAGGAGGGGTCTGATCACCCGACTCTGTCGGCATACAACAAGTTAGATGCACGATATGAGTACTTTGCTTCTATGAAGGGGTGCAAGATGAGTTGCGGGAGAGTGATTTCAATGTAATTCATAAACTTTTGTTGTGCATCTCCATTGCCATGTACATTCATTTTATTAGAGAACCATTCTATTTGAAAAATAATTGATGATATTACATGAGAAAAGTTTAGTGTGCTTTTCATTTGCACATTTCTATGGGCAAGATCATGCACTACACAACAACCACCACATAAATATAAAACCGACGATAGTTTTCTATAAAGAAATTAAGGGAGGATGATGTGACCATGACAAATATGCATAAAATCGTTGCTCACATCATATATCATCGGATGAAGTCGTTTCATCACAAGCTCTCATTTGATTGCATTAAGAATATGACACCAACTAATGAGGGAGATATATACCTTTATTTGTTTAGGGGTAACCTACATGGTTGGGGTTGCATATATATGGAAGATGTACACATCAGTTATGACACATCAAGAGATGGAGATCAACTCCCCCGCACACTGGAATCCAATTCGGCCATCTGAGACAAAACTAACTTCAAACGACCGTGGAATTCGCATACTGTTCCGTTTTGGCCTCACAAGTACTCATTTAAAAGATATTGTTGTTTACTCTCAAGTTAGTCCATCCTCACCATTAGATTTGAGCAAAGCTACCCAGAATAATCGAAACAACATCTAGACAAAAAACTTGGGCTTGGGTCTTGTATTCAGTAGAGCATATTAGGGATCCACCAAGGTTAGGGTTTGCTCCTACCACTCTGCTCGGTTGATTTTCCACCTATATAAACCCCTTGTAGCTACCATTTGCAACTTGAATTTTGTTTACATGAAAGTTTAGCTTCAGCTACTTCATTGTACTCATATGTGTCAGTTAGACAACTCGGATACTTGATTCACCCCCCTCCCAACTTAGTGTGTGTCAATTTCATATTTAGCAAGTGTTGTGACTGTTTTCTTGTTAATTTGTTCTTGCTTTGTTCTTCGATTGCTAGTAGGTTCAAGGTTGTTCTTGGCACAACAAGAACAACAACAATTCAGAGTTGGTGTACTAGTTGCTATGGCGCAACACCCCCTGTGGTAGTTGTAGTTAGACATTGGTGTACCAGTTGCTATGGTGCAACACCCTGTGTGGTAGTTGTAGTTAGACTGTCAATGTGGACTCCTCCCCAAAATCAAAGTTATCCTCTTCTCATTGAAAGATCGGAAAGCCCTATATAATAATTACTATACTTGCATGTTGAAGTTTAGGTATTTAGTGGGTTGTATCTATATAGAACATATAGATTTGTGCAACCATGCTCCAAACAATTAGTGTGTATCATTACAATATTTAAAGCACACTCCACTAACAATCCACATAAAATGAACTACTATAAGGTATTGTGTAAATAAATGTTTAACAAACTCTTCCATATTACTTTCTTCGTTTCATAATATAAGTCTTTCTAATATTGTTCACATTTATATAGATGTTAATGAATCTAGACACACATAATGTCTAGATTTATTAACATCTATATAAATATAAGCAATGCTAGGAAGTCTTACATTATGAAACGGAGGGAGTACAAAATTGATTGTGCTTAGTCCCTTTCTTCCATCCTCTTAACGGTGTCATCTTTTTTTAAGAAGTAGTAAGAGAATATCTTGACTTTCTTTTTGGTGGTGCTTTAATTTTCTAGAGCTTTTTATAAGGGCACTCAACATTTTGGTTTTTCAAAGCTTTACATCCTGATTAGTCAAGACAATCCCTTTGATATTTGAGCTGTAATACCATCCATTTATTTGATTTTCTCCTTCTATGGGTATCCTAAATTTAAACTAACTCTGGCCTACTCTAAAAACTTTAGCTACATATGAGCACCATGACATGTCCTTAGAGGTGGAGAAAGTAATCAAATAGGATCCTAGATCTAAACTGCTTACTTGCCCACAAATGCCGTTGTTGTACTTCTGACTGGGGAGAGGACATAGGCGATGTAAGATAGACAACTGAGGGAAGGCAAGAAGCCAGTGCTTAAGAAAGTAGAGGCGGCGGCGGTGTGCGTGGGGGCCTAGAGACTAGGAGAGAATCGATGTAGCCATTACAGAATAAACTTATTATCTATGCCAGCCTTAAACCTAGCCGCAAAATACCTATAGAACCATAGTACCCTTTCGCACTTGTATCTCCTATTGATGGAGGAGTGGTGCTAGGAGATACTGAAGTCTTGCCGGCCGTTCGATCTATCTCGACCGACGGCTAAGAATGGTTTCATATATCCCTTTTAGCAACCACGAAAATCCTTTACCTACAAGCACTAAACTAACCTAATACTCTCATCTGGCCACACCAAAGGTGACTTGAATAAAAGTGAAAAAAAACGGTAGGGAGAAGAAGTTGACAGCAGATAGATAGTCATCAGATGGATAGATCAACAACAGAGAGGCAAGGCAAAGGAGATGGATGGAAGGAAGAACCACACTACAACATCGAATCGAGGCCGAGACGGACCAACACAGACAAACAACTGCACACACAAGCCCCACCCCAAGCCAAAGCGAGAGAGACCACCCCAACCAACGCAGCAGCCAGCAACCTCCACCTCCTCCTCCTCCGCCGCGGCCGCCTTCCTCCTCCGCCGCCGCCGTCGCCGCCCGGACTCACTACCCCCTTGTGCTAACCCCCGGCCACCCAAGCAGGCCCCCCTCCCTCCACGACGGGCAGCGCGCCTCGGGAGGCACGCACGCGTCAGCAGCAGCGTCGTCAGCGTCAGCGGCATCAGCATCAGCATCAGCAGCAGCAGCCGCGGCCGGAGATCGCCTCCCCGCCTCCCCCCGCGTTCCAACGCGCCCCGCGCGCGGAAGCTGCAGCAGAGGTGAGAGTCCCCCCCCCCCCACCCCCCTCCGGTTCTATATCCCCCTCCACCCCCAACTCTGCCTCGATCCATGTACCCGCCACGCGCGCGGGGTCGTCGTCAATGTCGGCGCGCCACTCGCCGGCGGGGCTTCGTTCTGGTGATTCGGGCGCCGGGGAGTTCGAATTCGGGGGCGGGACGCAGGTCCCGGGGCGGAATTGGGGTTGTCCGGATTGGATCAGAGGGGATGGGGACGGGGGCGCTGGGATTTGGTTTGAGCTGCGCGTTGTTGCGGGGGCGGCGCGGTTTTGCTCGTCAGGTTCAGGATGTGCGCGGGTTCGTTGTTTGGGGATGTTCCCTTAGCTCGGTGCGACGGCATGAGCTCGGGAGTTTGAATTTGGTGCGAAACCCTAGCTTTTATCTGGATTTCGGGTTGAGGTAATGGGGGGCACTGGATCAGAGGAGCTCGTGTCCATGTAAGTTGGAGATAAAATTTGAATTGTGACTATGTCCACAGTTCGTTCAGTCACCCGGTGGAGCTTGTGATTTCGGTTATCTGTTTGTTAGAGTTACAATAATTTGATTAATTCGAGTGTGAAGCCTTTCCTTTGCTTACTCGTTCGAATCGGGAGAAACTGAGTTGGAGTGAAGGAGAGCTTGATGCATCTCAGTTGGAGATTTTTCTTTTCTTGTTTTGTAGGTACAAGGTTGTTTGATCTTGCTCAGGTGGCAGCTGGTCTCAGTTTTTTTCCCATGGTTTCTGGATAGGAAAATTCTGGTAGGCTTCGTTCACATGACGAAAGTTAGTTGTCAAGCTTGAATTTTGTGGAGCAGGGAAACTTGTGTTTATGCTATGCTGTTTTAGGTTTTGTTTGGAAGTTACTCTGAGTGTACAGTTGACCTTGGCATTTCATATCGTTCATTCATGGTTGGTTTTCTTATATGGTTTATGGTGATGAGCGCTGCACAGAATTTGATGTGTTGTGCCTTTCGGCATGTGTTTTTTCATGGACAGTATTTCTGTTTACCTTGTTTTATCAACATCATGTTCCAAACAAGCGGAAACCTGAATTTAATTTTCAAAGGCACATGGAGTACGGCTGTTCAAACATACACTTAATTTAGTATTACCCATTTCAGTGGCATTTTGTATTCCCATACATGCCAATACATAAGATTTGGTTTCTTTTTGTTATTTTAATAGGCGTTCTGAATCTTAACTATAAGCTACCACTAAATGATTTCAAAGTCCACTAGAATTTAAATTGTGACAGTGTCCAAAGTACAGTTACTCAGTGGAGCTTGTGATTTGGGCCATCTGTTTTTATCAGTTATATTAGTTGATTGATTCGGTGAAAAGCCTCCATTTGCTCACTTGTTGGAGTCAGGAGAAACTGAGTTGTGAGTGAAGGAGAGCTGGATGCATCTCAGTGGCGATTTCTTTCTTGTTTGTAGGACAATGTTTTTATTGGGGGGGGGGGGGGGGGGCGATTGTAGGTACAATTTTATGTGATCTTGCTCAGTTGGCTGATGTCTCAGTTTTCCTCTTGGTGGTACCTGTATTCACATGAGGAAAGCTTGCTGTCAAGCTTGGATTTTTTGCAGGGTCTGCAAAAACTGCATAGTTGGAGCAGGGAAACTCTGTGTTTCTGCTGTTCTGTTTTAGGTTTCGTTTGGAAGTTACTCTTCGTGTACAGTTGACCTGCCATTTCATATTGTTTCTTCATGGTTGGTTTTCTCGAATGGTTTATAGTTATGAACAGTGCGCAAAATTTGGTGCGGAGTGCCTTTTGCCATGTGTTTTTTTAGGAACAGTATCTGGTTTGGGTATTTCAATTATTAATTATTTTCAATCTCCTTTTGTGGTGAATTTTTTTATTTACCTCGTTTTATTAAAGAAAAAACATCATGTTCCGAACGAGCGGAATCCTGAATTTCTGATTTTCCAAGGCACATGAACCCATGTAGGTTGGCCGTTCAAACTTAAACACTTATTTTAGAATCACCCATTCAGTGGCCTTTTTTATTCCTGTACATGATACATGCCAATATCAAATTTCCTTTCTTTTTGTTAGTTTAATAGGTGCTTATCTTACCTAGAAGCTAGTACTAATTGATTTCAATGACCACACAATTTGCTGGCACTTCTTCAAGTTTTGCCAAATGCCAACACTAACACAATTCTATAAGGATCCAGAACATACTGAGGAATTACGTTCTTTATTTTATTTACAAAACTATTTGTCCTGAAAGGACATTAACACATTTTAGTGAAGTAATTTTCTTTTTACAAGGATTTGGCCTTATCAAATAACCTTGGTAAAAGTAATTTGTGGCAGTCAGCCCCACTTGTCTCTCATCCCTATCTCCTTCCTGCTCCCTATTTCACATTGTATTGGTTTGGAGGAGCCTTCATCAAGGAGATGTTTGGTGCTTCCCTCTCATATGATGCTACCTCCCTGCTTCCCACGTGTAAAAGTTCTCAAAAATCAAAATTTGGACATTTAGGGAGACAATTTTGTATCCATGTAGAATTCCAAGGTCAAACTTGATTTTGTATTTGAAAGATGTATGAAAGACAGACATAATGAATAGTGATTTTCCTGCTTGGTACCATTCATTATTGCTGGTACGGAGTTTCCTTTTTCTAAAATTTTCATTGCTATTGAATTATCCCTCCCCTGTATCTCCAAATTTTTAGAGATTGTTTTTAACTTTTACATGTAGGATTAGGAAGTGCAAGGATAGTTTTGTTGTGCAAGTCTACTGGCCACTGCTACTGGAACAGGCGATTGTTATTTTCAAGTAAACATCCTACCCTAGAAGGGATATCCTCACTTTATTTTTTAAAAAAATCGAGCAGTCTCAATTTCATTACAGAATCTGTGAATGAATGGTGAGCTGGGCACCTCAAATGGCATGAGCTGCATGAGGCAGGCCATGCACGGTTTACAGGGGAATCAGGTCCTTAGCCAGTCTTTACTTATAGGCTTTATTATAGCCAAGTAGTTCAATAAGTCTTTCCTTCTATTCTTGTTGAGCCAGGTGTTGGTTGAGCAACCACCATCATCAGTATTCAGTTCATTGTAAAAGGAGAAAGCAGCTGGCATTATATCATACGTAGAAGATTTTCTTCACTGATTTATTGTTCTTGGATAATCCAATGTGCTACTGGCATTTTATTTTTATTTTTATTATTTTACATATTTTATATTCCTAATCAGAGATTTGTTCACTGCAGTACATTTTGTGGCTAGCTTTATACTAAGAGGGGTCGAATTGGAGGAGGGCTACACTACTTGGTGGAGATTTTACTGAGATTCTACGTTGTGTTTCAATTACATTTACATGGCATATCTTTTCTAAGACATGCCGTCCTCTACGCCACCATCAGTGCAACCTGCACCAACTGTGCAACCATTACCGTCATCCACGGCAGGACAGAGCACTCGTATTGACCTTCGTGAGATTAAGTCCAACATCATTAAGAGGATTGGGCCAGGGCGAGCAAAGAAATACTTTCAGCATCTAGAGAGGTTCTTATCATCAAAATTGAACAAAAATGAGTTTGATAAGCTCTGTCTTGTGACACTTGGCCGTGAGAACCTCCCATTGCACAATCACCTCATCCGTTCTATTCTCCACAATGCATGCCGTGCAAATGGTCCACCGGCAATTGATGCGCCCAAGTTAGCAGGAGATGTTTCTAAATCAGAACAGATACTTCATCCTGTTTGGAACAATGGTAATGTTTCAATCCAGCATGTCAAAGACAATAGATCATTGACCATTGAGCAGGAGGGAGCGCCTATTATCAGGGAGAATGGTGCTCCAAATTTTAGTGATCTGAAGAGATGCCAACAGGTTCAGAACAGTGAGCATGCTGAGCCACGTAACAAGCGATTACATTATGAAAAGGAGCCACCGAGTTTTCTTGAGCCTTCACACAGCAATTGGCCCTTCTGCTATATCTTATGGTGAAAACTCGGGAGGTGAAAATATACACCGTATCCAAGGTCCCGTGCGAGCTCCACTGGGGATTCAATTTTCCCCAGTTAATTTTGGTGGGATTCAGAAATCTTCAGCCATTGCTTCTGTCCCTCCAAATGATAGCTCTGTTAGTTGCTATGAACTTGGTGAGTTATGTGATACTATGCTACTGAGTAAGAGGATGGAAAAAGTTGCAGAAGCAGCAGGTTTGGAAGGGGTCTCAGTAGAATGTGCTAATTTGTTGAATAATGGAGTTGATGTTTTCTTAAAGCAGTTGATTGGATCTTGTGTGCAGCTAGTTGGAACAAGATCACAGCTTGGGAAACTAAGCCATGCATCACTGAAGCAGCAGTTGTCACGTAAGCTAATAAATGGCGTATCACTGAAAAATCATGTGCATGGGCAGGGTATTATTATACCTACAGGCCCTAACTCGATCTCAATACAAGACTTAAAGGCAGTGTCAGAGTTAAGTCCACATCTTCTTGGGGTTAATGCATCACTGTTACGTGAGAAGATTAATTCATATGACTGATTGGATGGAGCAAATTGGACGTTTTGTTCTTTCAAGATAGTATGGACTTGATGGTGTGCCTTACTTCATGGCTTATGTATCCAGGTCCTAGCTTATTGCTGAGTGGTGGAAAAGGCAGGTGAACTTTGTACAGTGTGCTAACATACTGTGACTGGTCTTCAGGGCAACCTGTCAGAATAAGCAAAGATCTGCTTATCTACTGGGGTCTGTACTATTTAGAGTAGGACCCATCCATTGTGTGCCTCTAATCAACAGTAACGAGGCATTAGTGCTTCATACAGAACTATGGTGCTCGACTCCAAACAAATTGAGGAGCCATAACACAGAATTCTCTGTAAGTGGACTGCAATGATACATGCTTTTCAATTGTTACATTTCTAGCATAGATAGCAGAGTAGATGATGATTTATTTCCAATCAGTTTTGCTTTAGTGTTAGCAAAAGTAGGGATTATTTATAAGGAATATGCGCATAGAAAAATGTAATGTTCTTTTGAGAAATGAATATTCCTTCCCTTCAGAAATGATGAAAACCATGCTATGGGATAAACCAACAGAGGTTTTATCCAGTATTTTGAGGCACACAAGTTGCAAAATAGATGGTAGAAACAGATTTTTATTAGATATCCTTGACTCCTGAGTTTCAGGACCCGATTGTACAAATAACATTCTTTTGCCTTCTGCACTGTGGTCTTGCACTTTTATGTATTGAGAATACACCATGGGCCGCTAAATGTGTCTGGCCGGTTAAGTCCACGAATGTCTAATATGCAGTTTGAGGTCCTCGAACTTTTCCAAACTGTTCCCTAGAGGCCCAACCTGACCCCACACTGCCACATATGGTGCCAGGGTGGACACTGGTGTAGTATTGGAATTTTAGCGGCATTTCTATGTGGGCATTTTGCAGTTAGATCCTCTAAAGAGTATGATTTACATTAATCACATTAATAGATGGGTGTGAACCAACTTTATGAATGCTTAAAAATCAAAGGATAGCTATGGTAGTGTAGGTGCAGTGTAAATATTTCAATGTCTCCATGCACTTTTTGCAGCACTAGGCCCCATACTTTGATTTCTTTGCAGTTACTTATGTTCTATTCGCAGCTCTGCGTGCTGCAGCCATGGACTTCTCGTGGTTGCCCATGGGGATGGAAAAACTATGAAAATGGGAGAGCTTGTAGGGGGTTTTTTGCAAACTTTTAGGTGATTAAAAAGGGCATATGTGATCGGACTGTGCATGTTGGTGCACTCCTGTCTATCCTGGTACTGTTTGGCTTCCATGTAGGTGGTGTGGGGCAATATCGGACCTCTAGTGAACGGTTTAGATAGGTTTAGGAACCTTAAACTGTAGATTGAAACTTCATGGACCTAAGTGAAGCAGGTGGACAGGTTAGCGACATGTAGTGTATTTTACTCATATATTCATCTTCTATTTAATACTACCTCTGTTTTTTTTTATATATGATGCCATTAACTTTTAACAAACGTTTGACCATTCGTCTTATTCAAAATATTTGTGCAAACATAAAAAAATATAAGTCATGCTTTAAGAACCTTTAATGATAAATCAAGTCACAAGAAAATAAATGATAATTACATGAATTTTTTGAATAAGACAAATCGTCAAACATATCTCAAAAGTCAACGGCGTCATACATTAAAAAACAGAGAGAGTACCATTTATCTATTTCTGGATGCTATTCTTGTAGTTCTGCTATGGCACTCTGCAACTGGCCATTTTCACAAAAGGAAAAAAAAAGGTCTTTTCGGAATCTAAAAGCAGTTACATCAAATAAGGAAAGAAAAAAAATATGTAGAGGGATCCACTTGATAGGTTTGTAGCATATATCTAATGGGCAAAATGAGCAAAGCTTTGCATTAGTTCTCCATTATATTGTAGTGGTGTCAAAGTGAAACTTACTAAAATTATGATTTAATAAGGTCGGCAGTGCCATATGCATGTTGGATGTAGTTTCCTAGTCATAGGTTTGATGGTTCCATTATTATGTCTGCTTGATACAGTTACAGTGGAATGCATGTTAGTTAACCAAAAATATTATCTCCGTGAAGTTTTGTTATGCACACTCAGTATCACAACAAAATGGTTTTGATCTGGTGAAGAAAAAAATAATTCATGATCTAATTCTTTTTCTGGGGATTGATTTGCCTCTTAACTATTTATTCAGCCACTGAAATCAAGTGTCCCTTACTCTTTCCATGTTGTCTGTATTTGCTCTGGTATCTTATTGTTTAAACCTGAAACCATCTGTACTGGCCTTCTTTTCTTCATTTCTGTCGGTGGCCTATGTAGTTCTTGGAGTATTTGCCTACTTTTGGAAGGCAGTAGTTCTTTTTGCTTCTGTTATACCTTGATTTGTTCAATGGGAGTGCACAGCTTATTGAGAATTATGATCTCTACCTAGTTCTTATCAGTAAAGCACATAGATTGTTTTTATTTATATCGAGGATTAATACAGTTGATGCCTTCGTATTGTTACTTTTACTTAATCTTTATCCTGGAGCAGTAGTTTATTTTTTCTTTTTAGTTCTGTATAGTGAAATCCCTTTTGGGGGCTTTGGTTTGTTGGTTCATCGTCTGTCATCCCACTTTTTCAACCATTGCTAAGGTAAGTCGAGCTTTGCTAATCATATAATTTTGAATTTCGAAGCTTTAAAATTTGGATGTTCATCTCCCCTTTTTATGCGTTCTCTATTGTGGCAAAAAAACAATTGCATGTAGTTGTTATTCTTCTTCAATAAAACATAATGACATCGCAGTTAATTTTAGAGTGTATTGTTTTTCTTGAGACTGATGTAATGAATTGGATGGACTATTAGAGAAAAATACCTCATACCATGTGGGAATCTTTGTGCGCATGCCCTCAGCCTGCTTTGATGTAGTACAATATTTTTAAGGTAAAGAACACTGCTAATGAAACCTAATATGCCTGCCAACGTTCTTTCAAGCTTCCAGGAATCCATGCTGATGATGTCAATCTGTAAAATGGGTTACCTCCAGGACAGAGCCAGGATCCGCGATTTTTTTTCTCCAATGATCTCCACAAAGTGCAAACATGAGGAAGACACGATTCTGCAAAACGTGGTTGCTTCTCTGTGCTGTTCCCATCGGTTAAACAACAATTTTGGTAGGTATTATATGCCTGGGATATAAATTGTGCATACATTTTTACCTATTCAATTTCCTAATCTGACAGGAACAAACTTTCCATTGTGCAGTTCGTAACTTTGATCTACTGGCAAAATTGCCCCATCGTGAAGCATAAAGCATCATTCATGTATAGAAGAAACACAATAAGCCACTCCGCTGGCTGATCCATATCGAATGATATGAAGCATCCATAGCTCTGTACAATCAGTGTATATACGACTTGTTTATTCCGTTTCATAAAAATTTCAATTATTCTGTATACCTATTTAGTTTCATTCTCACTCAGATAAACTGTGAACATCTTGCTTATAAGATTGGCGAGTGGTATCTGGTGACAAGTGGATGCACCAGAACAAAGAGGTGTTATGATTTCTGAATATCAACATCAGAAAACTGTATGGAATATATCGAATTCTGGTTGGGGGTAGGATTGCATACAAGATTTGAGTATCGTGCATGACAGGCCAGTTACCATCAACTTGTTGACTAGGAGTCTAGTTTAAACCCTGTCTTTGAACTCGGCCCTGATTGTTCGAATTATGTGGAACCTCAGGTTTATCTTTCAAGGTGGCATTGATATTCTTCAACTGTTGGATTCTCAGACTTCCTAAGTTAACAACACAACCTTGATCACATTCACCCAAGCAAGGATGCAACATACCACAAAAATTATCTTGGGGGCATTTAACTTTTTCCACTTTTTAAGATATGATAATTAAAGATTTGTCACTCGAAGTCTATAATGTCTATAATATGTGGGTATAGTGGTAAATCCTTAATTATCACTTATAAAAGTGGCAAATAGTTAATTATTCCTTAAAAACGGGGGTTATACATTACTACCTCTGTTTTATATTTTTATATTATAAGTTGTTTTGATTTTTTTTCCTAATCATACTCCATTTTATATTTTTATATTATAAGTTGTTTTGATTTTTTTCCTAGTCAAACTCCGTTTCATACTGTAAAAAAATAGTTAACATCTAGAAAACTAAATTAATTTCATTAAAACTAACATTTAATATATTTTGATAGTATGTTTGTTTTGGGTTAAAAATATTGTCATATTTTTTTACAAACTTGGTCAAACTTACATTTGATTAAAAAAAGTCAAAGCAAATTATAATATAAAATGGAGGGAGTAGTAAACATGTTCTACAAATTAGGCCACGCTTCACATACAATTCTATGAGCAAATCAATTGAGCACTCGGCTTCCCAAGCACAAAGCTGACGAAAGATGGCCAATATAACTGGATTTTTCACATTTTGGTCCTTTTAAAAAACTTATTTCGCAAATAAACCCCTGAAAAAACTTATCCCAGCCATGTTGGTGCCCTCATCCCGCCACCTCAGCATCGCCTCGCCACGTCGGCAGGGGGACGGCGCCAGCCACTCTGGTGCTCCAAAAAGGACCATTTCTGGGATAAGTTTTTCAAGGGTCTATTTGCAAAATAAATTTTTCAAAAGGACCAAAATGTGAAAAATCCAGGCCAATATAACAAAAATGGAGAAGTAGCCACGGTACTATTACAGCAACATGAGCTGTAGTGCTGCACAAAGTAATAGTAACTTTGTGTAGATGCAAGATCTAACAAATAGCCAACAATCTGATCAGCAAATGCTGTTGTCAAAAAAACTCAAATCTTGCAAGGTTATCAAAAACAATTGTTGCCTTTTCTGATTAGCTTCCTACTATGAGCCTCAAATATTTCTCAACTTACTAATCAGTACTATACAGACCACTGTTTTCAAACTATACTTGATCTCTCGTATCTAAGACATGGTAAAAATTTGAGTTAGGTGACAGTAACTTCTTGGTCTGGTCTCAGAACCAACTGCACACAAGGTAAGATGTTAGATGGTGTCCTCTATGCATAGTAGTTGAAGCTGTTGTTCAGTAATTCCCGTCTTTTACTTGCGCAATTGCTCTGACAAAGTCCTCATGCCGAACCTACAAGGAGAAAATCAATATAGGATGCAACAACGTAATTTCTTTTCGCAGAACAAGACAAGACAATGATGGACAAGGACAATAGGAGAGAATGTGCAGCGTACATTTTGACAAATTTATAAAACATTCTCACAAACATTACATTTATCTAGTTCTGCTAATACATTTCATGCAGAATGGACAGGGAAAAATCGGTAAGTCAACAGTTGTGTAAACTGTAAAACTAATAGGGCATGATAAAAGGATAGTAAGTTTATATGTACTAGAAGTTGAATTTACAATGCAAATATAAATCCAGTAAATGAACTTCACTAAGAAAAATGTTCTGCTATGCAATATTCTCCGTGGCTGTACCGCTGCTGTTATTTATTACTCTGTTTTTAGGTGTTCTCCTTTCAGAGTTGGATAACTTCTTTTAGCTACTCACATATTGTTTTTTTAATTATGAAGTATTCCTCTGTAAATTATTCGGGAATGCTTTGCAGTTTGCATGATGAATAACCACACCACTATATTATCACGAAGAGGAAGTATATAATAGTTCTGAAACAGATGAACATGGCTGCAGTAACCAACTGTGAATTATTGCAGCAGAAAGAAAACTGCTTGCTTTGTCTAAAAGAAGAACCGCTAAAGAAATGATAATGCAGCTAACAATAAATAAGAGACAGAAGAAACCTCTGTAGCATCTCGGTGAAATGCCAGCATGCTAGCCTCAAAGCATACAGCCTTTAGCTGTGCACCATTAAAATCATCTGTACAGCAAGCCAACTCTTCAAAGTTTACATCAGGGTTTTTGTCCATTTTTCGGGAGTGGATCTACAAATAATCATACAGAGCAAGACATTTAGGTTATGTGTGCAAAGCTAGATATCTTTTCAACAACTAAGCAAGTAAAGGAGGGAAAAAAAAGGTGTTCAAGGTAGCTTGCCTCCAGAATTCTAACTCTAGCCTGTTCAGATGGATGAGGGAATTCAATCTTTTGATCTAAACGGCCAGATCGCAGAAAAGCAGGATCAAGAACTTCTGGCCGATTAGTTGCAGCTATTACCTGTTAGTCAGCCAAAGAGTTCATCATGTCATTACTTTTTTAAAAAATACCAGCAAGAAACAGAAGTAAAGTATTAACAGAAATCATATTTTAGTGAATGTCATAAAGCATGTAGGAAACATGTGTTCGTTAGATAGACAAGCGATAAGGAACAAAGCTTATGTTTGAAGTTATAAGAAGCTGAAGACAATCAACAAAAATGCAAGAACAGGTCCTTAGGAATATCCATTAGGATAACTAAAAGGCTAATATGAATGAGGATGTCTTGATATTATCTTTTTCATGGTATTTATTGTAGCTTTCATCCAGTGATCAATATTGCACAGAACAAATGGGCTTCGCTCCCTTCCAAAAAAAAAAAAAAAGAGAGGGATTCACTGCTTATGGTCACCTAAAGTTATTCACAAGTTCTAAGAAATTTCGAGTCCATGCTGGTACCATTTGCTGTTTGCGAATAAAAGAAGAGATTACTGCATCTTAACACTACAGGCCTGTTTGGGTAGTCGGAAAAGGAAAAAAAATCACTCACAAAAAGCCAGCTTTTCGTCCTAGTCATTCATTCTCCTCTTCTCATTTCAACCTAATCCTTCCTATCCCAACACCACTAATATCCCACAGCCCAAATGCCCTGTATCAGTACATACGTGAATATAAAAAAAATAAAGTGGAACAGGAAGACATCTGAAGGGCTCTGTACTCTGTACCAGGATATGCACACACACCAAATGATTTAATACAATAGTTCCATACACAGAAGAATAAAGAGATATGAAAAAAAAAACACACTTCTAAACATATTTCAAGCCGCAGTTTGCATATTGCTAAATCTCCATCTGTGGTTATCGAAAGTCACATGAGCTTGTGGTTATTAAAACATTTACCTTTATACTCTCATAGCTCCCGACGCCATCCAACTGATTAAGAAGCTCCACAATTGTTTGTTGCACTTCCCTATCACCACTGCATGGCGTGCAACTAGTCAGAAGTGCAAGTACTCAAACCTAGCAGAAACAGAACATACATTGTATATTGTTGAGAGCACCATAACTGCCAAATGTACTAAAGGTCCTATTATAAACTCGAGTTACTTCTACTACAAGTCTCAACAGGAGCCTTCATGACTTTGTGCCAGAAATGAAGTTCAAACTTCCTTCCTGACATTTCTGAGGATCTAAAAATTCAAATGTCTTAAGCAGACATAAAAACTTGTATTGGAAAAGAACCTAGAATCATTTGCATAAAGTAAACTTGCAGTATACATGCTAAATTAAGTGATATATCAACTAAGGGTGCAGGTAAAGGCAATATACGATTAGAAAGAGGACATGATTTAACAAGTATTTAACATGTCAGCAAGTAGGAAACAAACAATTGCTGGAAAGAAATTAACAGAAAAGACCTAGTGTATTTGTTCACATATTCAAAAGTGGGAAATGATGAAGGAACGACCATGTTTGTCATACCTATCAAAGTGCTTGCTTCCAATTGCATCAATTTCATCAATGAAAATAATGCATGGGGCTTTCTCTTTAGCAAGCTGAAAGGCATCACGAACAAGTCTTGCTCCCTCACCAATAAGCTTCTGCACGAGTCCACAAAGAAACCAGTATTAATCTCAATCGTACATAAAAAAAAAGGCAAATCATGTAGCACTAAGAAACTTTTCAGAGGAGCTCAAAGATATCGAAGGATCATGAAAAACTCTGCTGTTCAATGCCTTTACGCATTTCATGTATCTATCAAATACTTTGATTGGTTTTCCCAAATTCACTGACCAATGCATAAAGATGGAACATGAGAAAGATACAGAATATACGCACACCTGATTTCATGAATAGCACAACAATATTTTACTGACAGTTAGGTGATGGATTTTCTGTTGCAAGATAATTACCACGGCAAGTTGTGGACCAGTTAGCTTAAGAAATGTTGCATTTGTCTGGGAAGCAAATGCATGGGCAACGAGTGTCTTCCCAGTTCCAGGTGGTCCATACAGAAGTACACCTTTTGGAGGGTGAATTCCCAACCTCTGGAAGCAGTTCTTGTGGATTATTGGCAACACAACTGCTTCCACAAGCTCCTCAATCTGAATATGAAATTTACAAAACAGTTTATTACTTATAGGAGATGGGGTGGTATAAATTAACAAGTAAACAAAACGCTATTCAGTACAATAATAAATTAACAAGTAAACAAAACGCTATTCAGTACAATAATAAATGAAGGAGTGCAAACAATGTTGCTATTCAGTACAATAATAAACTATGTCCACTGTTATTATTACCATTCTTAAGCAGGGAAAAGTAGAAAGAGTTGTAACTTACTTGTTTTTCGAGACCACCAATGCCACAGTAGTGTTCATTTGATGTACTGTCAACACCAATTAAATCTCCAGGCTTAAGTTTGCTAGGGTACACTACCCCAGCAATAGGACGGAATATAATCTGTCATTGCAAGAAAAGGAAACAAAAGAAAAAATATATATATCAGAATAAGTTTAGAACATAGATGATTGACTACAGAAAATGAAATCGAGTGAGCTCATTGCCTCAAGAATGTCCCCTGTGCATAAGTTCATATTTATCTATGGGTGGTATAGTTATTGCAGCAAATTTAGGCTCCTGTTGATGCATGTGCATATTGCAAAGGAAAGAACTCCACTGTTGATTCGACATGCCAGTCAGGATTGAACATATCCGAGCAATATTCATAACCGAGCTCACAGGCAATAGGAACGTAGGATTGGTTTAATTCTTCGCTTGCAAACATAATTACATTGCGAATGAGTCACGACCACAAATATTAGCAAAACACATTGAGTATGTTCCGTACACATGCACAGTTCAAAATGTGGAATACCAGAAGCGTACTTTTAACTTTTGAAAACTTAATCAAGCTTGTTTTAGTCTAGCAGTAGAGACATGCTGAATTAGTGAAAGGCAGAGAGTTTGCTATTGTCTGAAAAGAGAGGTTATCATCTGTGGAACAGAAGATATCACTGCAACCCTGTTGATGTTACAAATGACACAGTTCTGATATATTATGTATATACTGCCTCCGTTTGGAAAAGGATGAAGTTCTGGCCTCAACGCCTGAAGACAAAGACATCTCTTTACAGCTAAGAAATTGACAGCTTTGCCCCTTACTAGAGTAATTAATGTTCCAATCATTGAAATGCCAAGAGACCAAGCAGGCCCAGGGTAGCACAAATTTCAATCTACCTCAATCAATGCAAGTAGTGCTGCCACGTGGAAACATTCATATGCAATTAGGGATAGCTAGGAACAGCAGAGTTGAGTTTGAGTAATGGATTGCTCTCTCTCTCTCTCTCTCAAACGGGCAGGAGAGCCGCGCATCATTATATAAAGGAAAAGAGTCTAAGAAGACTCAAAGAAGCCCATTAGGGCAAGGTTTAGTACACAAGGGCTGGCTAAAGGAATAAAAAAGGACTATGACTAGCAATCCAAGCAAACACCACATCTATGGCCAAAAGGTACTAATGAATTGCTTTTAATAGGGGTAATTTGATAAAGCTTTAGGTAGAAAACCGAAAACTCCCCTATTTGAGTACAAAATCAACATTTCAAGTCGTCATCTAAAAGAGAAGGCAGGAATGGGTAAAACTTAGAATGAAGCCATACGTACAATGCTGCACTTGTGCAATATTTAGAGATTAGAAAAGAGAAATAGATCAAGTTGGTTTCTTACTTTTCGCTGCAAATGAAAGCCAACATCACAATCATCCTCAGCAGTCTCATCCTCTGGGCCCTTTTCCATAATCTAGAAATGGAATGAGCAATTAACCACACACTTATACACAGATGTACATAGCATCCAAAATGCCCCCCAAACTACAATTACATCTTCTCAATAAAAGGCCTACTTCTTTTCGCTGCAAGTGTAATAAGTTATTCATCGCTGGATGTTTGCAATTCGATCACATTGTACAATTTAGAACCTAATCCAAATTCAGAACTCCAGAATAGGCCAATTGGAAATGTAGATAACTCATTCACCCCCTGAATCCTCAATAACACGCAGTTGAAAAATGTGACAACACGCCCGAATATCGCTCATGATCATACAATTTAGAACCAAATCAAATGTCATAACATCATAACATGCAATTGGCTATAACGTAGCATAACTGCATATAAGAACCCCCCACACATTTCATGGACCGGCAGCGCGATTTTCAGAACAATGGTGAGGACAATGGCGCACAGATTAATCAATTACTCTAGAACCCAAACCCCGACCGAGCAAGAATCTCGAGCATCAACCCTAAAACCCCCCCAAATGCAGGTGGATGTGGGCGCTTACCCTGAGGACCATGCCGACGAGGTACGCCTCGTTCGCTTCGATTCCCTGGATGACGCGTTCCATATGCTGGTTCAACTTCGTCTCCTCCATCTGGAGAATCAAGCAAGCAAGCAAGCAAATAAACAAACCAACCCCACACCATCGGAGGTGAAACCCCCCCAGCGAGAAACCAAGAAGAACCGATCGATCGATCGACCAATGGCGGCTGCAAGAACCGACCCGGACCGAGCGACGCGGGTTCTCACCTCGAGGGTCCTGATCCTCTTCTTGAGGCGGTCCACCTCCTCGATGTCGCCGCCGTCGGCGGCGGCTGCGGCGGAGGAAGGCATGGTCGGTGGCGCGAGGCGGAGGCGGAAGTGGAGGCGCGGGGGGAAGGGAAGAGAGCGCCCCGCCCAGAAATACTCCACTAGCAGCCAGCTAATGGCGATTTTTGTTCTTTTTTGAACTGGGCAAAAAGCGATTTCGTAGCTAATCTTTTTTCTTTTAACTGCTAATTATATGTCAGTTTATCAAACTGCAAATATCCATGTAAGAAGTCTGAATAATTATAAAAGCGTTCATAATGCACACACGTGATGTGTGTGGTAATGTCTATCCATATAAACAAAATGTGTGCGTGGAGGAGAGAAAATGGTGGGGTCCACGTTTTCATCGGGTTCGCGTGGCTTCCTTTGGCTACAAGAACCTCGTCAAAAGAGAGCTGATTTTTTCTAGGAAGAGAGAGAAGAAGAAGCTTGCCGAGAAGCCACGTCCTCGCCGGAGAAGCTCGCCGAAGAGGGGAGGGTAGAGGCGTCAATCCGATCTAGATCCGCGCCTAATTCGCCGTCCCATCCGGCGGCGACGACAGGAGCTCGCCCATGGAGGTGGTGGATGGTGAAGCAGTGGCACCCTCGCCGGTCGACGCCTCTTGATCCGCGTCGCCGAGCTCCTCCACCACCGACTCATCTGCCGCTGACCCGTCCACATCCGCGTCGCCGAGCTCCTCCACCACCGACTCATCTGCCGCTGACCCGTCCACCGCTTCTGCGCGCCGGCGCTCGCCGTTGTTTTCCTCGGGGGGGGGGAGGGGAGGAGGGTGGTGTGCCGGTGAGCCCCAGGCCCGCCGCCCCTCCGGTCGGCGTCGTCGCACTTGGCTGCTCCGCCGATGCGCAGTGCTCTCTACGCGGTGGGGAAAATTGGAAAGGAGAGAGAGAAGAGAGAAAAAAAATGGTAAAGCTGGCACTGGTGGGACCCACAAGAAGCAACTTGCACTGTGGCATACTCCATCCGTCCCAAAAAAAAACCCAATCCTGATATAGGATTGAGTAACCCAATCCTGATATAGGATTGGGTTTTTTTTGGACGGAGGGAGTATATAGCTAAAGATTGTCCCTGGTCTAGCTGACGCGCGAGACACTGCAAATGCTCATGACACACTATGAACGCCTAAAAGTTCTTCTCTTCCGTTTCTTTTATCACAATCTCATGTATATCTGATACCAACATCCTATATAATTATAAATACCATTATTGGGTATATGCGTATAGCTTGTCAACACGTTAGAAATAACGCTAAATAGGGGCGTGGTTAATTATGTTCTATGCTAATCGAAGACAAATTTTGTTTAGACATTTGTAGGAAAAAAACCATAATTATGCGAAAGTAAATTAAAATGTCAAGTTAATGATATTATTTTATTAAAAATATTCTAATTTACATCAAACTATTTTTAAAATTATTTTCATCAAGAATTAAATGTTAAAATACATCCGCATTGATTTTCATGCATGTCCTTCCTATGTTGTACCACTCTTTTTCGTAAGAACGTTTGTAAACTATGTTTTTTTTCTCAAAAGTCTTCTATGTAAAAAATATACTCCTTGTCTTGATGGGCCCATAAACACCGGTTGACATAGTCAACCACCTCAGTGAAGCTCTGTTGTAAATTAACCTCGTTCACCATGGATGGATCAAGGAACCCAACTTGATTACCAAGGCAACGACTTTCGATCCAACACAACCTTGTCTTGATGCTCCTCTCTTTTGTCTTTTGTTTTTCCACATGCTCCTCTGTTTTTTCCTTCGATGTGCTCTTCTCTTTTGTCTTTCCAACTTTCCTCTTTTTTCCAAACTCGTTGGTTATTCCCATCACTAAGTTGTGCACCTCTGTCCCTGTTAGCTCTGCCGGGGGTCCGACTGTATCTCTGTGTCCATTGAAATTCTTTCTCATATTCCTATACGGGTGATACCTTGGGAGAAATCTCCTATGACCCATGTAGACCGTCTTGTGTGAATGCTTCAACCATTTGCTTCTTGTTTCCTCCATACACTCCGAACACGCCCATTTCCCTTTCACAGTTTGGCCAGAAAGGTTGCCAAGGGCCGGATAATCGTTGATGGTACAAAACAGCATCGCATAGAGGTTGAAATACTCTTGTGCATATGCGTCCCATGTTCGTGTGCCCTCATTCCATAGCCTTTCGAAATCATCTGACGGAGCGCGGTGCTCCTCACCGGGAGACCGCACAGGCCCCCCTTTGCCGGTTCGGCCGGGGGCTCAGGGTGAGATCTCAAGCTCTCCGTGTATGTGGGAAGATCGCGACCTCTCAAAAGAGCATGAAACACAAGCGATGTATACAGGTTCAGGCCGCTGAGAAGCGTAATACCCTACTCCTGTGTTTTGGTGGATCTGTGTATGAAGGAGCTACAAAGTGTGAGCCAACCTCTCCCTCGTTCTAGGTTCTGAATCTGGAAAAGATCATCCCCCTTCTCTATGGGCCAGGTCCTCCTTTTATACTTCAAGGGGATACCACATGCACCCCTCCCTTTCCAAACTGGACTTTTCTTCTCTTCATAAATGGACGGAGATTTGCACGGTCGTCCTCCGAACATCCTCCTGACGGGACGGCACACACCTACCTCCACTTCTGCCTGAGGCGGGCACGTCGTGGGAAGGTGGCTGTGTGCTGACGACATGAGCAGTGTCAGACCGGTCACAAATCGGTCATTCTTGTCCACCACGCGTCGGCTTAGCAACGTGCATGTTTGCCCTTCTTCAAACAACATCTTGCTTGTAATGGTTAGGATGAAGCCTGGCATATATCGATCGGGGCTAACGTGTCATCTCTGGGATGTAACACGCTAGCTCCAGCCGGGGACGAGTGCCTAGAAGCTCTCGTCTTGACGGGATGGGGCGAAGCGTGCGTCAGACCGCCTGTCGCCACCTAACCCGCGATTTGACCGGTCTGTGACTGGTCACAGACCGGATAATCGAGTGCACTGCACTGCACTTCGTGCGGCGTGACACGCTTAACCGAGGCGCAATAAATGCGGTTAGGTGAGCCCCGCTGTGCTCACCTAACCCATACACGTGGAGTAGAAACGCGAGGGGTCGGGGCGCCTCGGCCCTCGGGGGCGAGGCAGGAGTGGTCCGACCCCCCCCTCGGGGAGACCAAGAGGTGGGCGCACACATCACCCTCGGGCCCGACGTCCCCCGAGGGTGCCAGGCCACGTGGGCGATGGTGTCTGCCTCAAGCCTCTAGTCATGATACTCCCGGTCCCATGTCACCGACAGTAGCCCCCGGCGTTATGCCAGGGCGATCGCCCTTCTTATGGGAAGCGGCCGGGCGTGACGCCACTCCTAAAGCCTGGTGATAGGTGGGACCGGTCTCCATGGTTGGGCAGAAACCCAACGGTCTCAAACCATGCACACCGGTTATGGTAATTTGGCTGTCAATAATGGGCGGTCTCTTCAAGACTGCCACATCACCTGAGCGGCGAACGAATCTGGGCGAGCCGATTTGCTTCGCCTGGAGATACGGTAATGTCGCTTCGGTCGGCGAGCGTAATTAACGCGCGCACGATACGATCTATCTCGACTGCCGCAACCGCATATCCACCTCACGCGCCGCAAGCGGGCGAATGGGATCAGTGGAAGCGTGGGCGCGAGAAACGAGGGGGCGAAATAATGGGCGCGAGAAACGAGGAGCCGGGCACAGCGTTGGCAAGGGTATAAAGGTACTGAGGATAGGATTTGCTTCCTTCCTTTCGCCATCATTCCCCTTGCCTTCGCCGCTTGCGCCCTAACTCCTTCTTCCCTGCGCCCTTCTTTCGCCACACGCGCTCGCTCTCCATCTTCTCTTCGTCCGGCGCCATGGCACGGGGCTCCGCACTGCTTGATGGTAGCGTGCTGCCGCCTTCCCGCATCGTGAGCGAGAAGCAGGCTGGGTTGCCGCGCCGCTTTATGCCGGAATCTGCCACCGGCCGTGAGATAGTCATGCTGGGCGAGGGACGCCCGGCGCCAGACTACCCGGGGAGGTCCGTCTTCTTTCTCCCCTTTGCAATGGCAGGGCTGGTTCCGCCATTTTCTTCTTTCTTCATGGATGTCCTGGAGTTCTACGATCTCCAGATGGCGCACCTTACCCCCAACGCAGTGATGACATTGGGCATCTTCGCACACCTGTGCGAGATGTTCATTGGGGTGCGCCCATCTCTTCGGCTGTTCCGGTGGTTCTTCACCGTGCAGTCGGTATCGCCACCGTCGGTGGTCGGCGGCTGCTATTTCCTGCCGCGGGGGCCGGTGTTGAACCGCTACATCCCCTGCGTCCTCCGCAAAAAGTGGGATGACTGGAAGAGCGACTGGTTCTACACCCCCCTCGCCGACGAAGCGCGCCTCCGACTTCCGAGCCAGCCCCCGGCGCAGGCCTCCAGCTGGCGGGCGCCGGTAGATCTGGGGGATGGCTATGACGCCGTCCTCGACCGCCTCGCGGGCCTGCGATCCCAGGGGCTCACCGGGGCCATGGTGTACGGCGACTACCTCCGTCGTCGGATTGCGCCGCTCCAGCGGCGCGCTCGGGGCGCCTGGGAGTACACCGGGTCCGAAGACTACATGCGGACCCACCAGGGAGTCAGATGGGATTGGGCTCCCGAGGACTTCAAGATACTGGTCCAACGGGTGCTAAATCTCAACTCCGTGGAGGCGTCCCTCATCCCCCACGGTATCCTCCCCCTCTGCAGCGATCCAGATCGCGCCTCCATCTTGACCATTATGACGGCGGTCGGGGCCTCAGAGGAGCAGGCTCCTAAGGGCCATGACGGCGCAGGCGGGAGCCGCCGAGGGGATCAATCTACCCCCGGAGGGGGTCGTGCTTCTGGGCCCCGCGTCGGGGGCTCGGGGAGCAGCCGCCCTACCGACGCCCGGGGGAAGAGGAAGCTGGGAGGAACACCTCCCCCATCTCCTCCCCGAGGGGGCGGGGCGGTGCGCGCCAGCAGCAGGCGCCCGGAGGGGGCCGCGCCAACATCGCAGCCCGAGGGGGAGCGCAAGAAGAAGCGGCTGCGCAAGATGGGGGAGACAGAACCATCCCGGGGAAACCTAATTTCCCCTCCAAGGTGGTCATTTAACCGACCCCCTCGCAGGTTCGTCCCACGCTCATTGCGACCGTCTTTTCTTCTATCCCAAAAGCAAGT